CTTCACACAATTGAAGTTTCCAATTGACCTGATAGAATTTCGGACACTTAAAAGTTGGAATGCTCGTATAGGAAATAGCGAAAAAACGCTAATTAAAAACCGAACGACCTTGATCCCAAAAAATTGAAGACTGGATGATACCTTGACCTCATTTCCAACCAAATTCCCGCCCTTGCTTGACGCGTTCACGCATCTTATAAGTCAATTTTTTTCGTGGGTAATAAAGTGAGGGAAAAAGTATTTAAAAAAAAACCATCGAGGCATTTGTGTTTAATTCTGTCTAAGAAAGTCAATACAGACAATGGATAAAAAATACGCATTATTATGCTAATAGCACAATTTGTTTTTTTTTTTGAGAGAGAAAAGTTATGATAAGCAAATAAATACAGTTGAATGACAAAAGAGCGATCTATAGAGGAACCAGTAACGCAAAAAAAGGCGTGTTTACACATACCTCAAAGATCTGAACTGGGTGGATGAATGAACACGCTGGAAATATGCAGAGTTCTAGCAAGATTAGTGAGGTCAAGGTCACTGCGAGAAGAGATGCGATTGACTACTGGGATCGATGCCCCGAAAGGACATACACACACTATCAAAACGCCTGCCATTTGAAATAAATAAATTTGTCCCTATTTCACGACATCAATTTTGTGCTAGACGAAGGTGCGTACAGACTGGCGGGAATAAAATTGCATCTTGGACAAAGTGCTCCTCCGTAAAGAAACTCCCTCAAACTTTCCATTTCCAAACAGATAGGGAAAATTGGCGCCTAAAAATTTTATTTATCACTCCATGCTTTAGCTAATACAAAACCAACAGAGCGAAAAATGGTACATAAAAGTATATTATTTTCTAGAACAATAAGTTATAACTCTTCCAAGCTTTTTAATAGCTGCATTTTCCAGCACTTATTGAAGGGAGGGTATTGTAGAGTTCTCATTGCGAGGAATTCGAATTCTGTCACCCGCCCTACTTTATTGGCCAAATCTAACCAGCATGGTTAACTATTTCACTTGTTGGTGAACAATTTACTGACATTGGCTACATAATGAACTTCCGTTGAAACGCTGTGACCACCTATCATCATAATTATTCTAGTTGTAGATCATTCCATATTGGTAGGCTGTGATCTAGGCAAGAACTATGTTCCATCAAACTTGTACGCACTAAATTTTGGACATTTTCATCATATAAGCAGTCACACATTAGGTGGATCATTTTTCACCCGAATAAACAGCATTTCACTCCGTTCAACCATATTCAAACAAAACGCTATTCGATAGGAAGGCCGCTTTTGTTGAAAGACAAAAAAATTCTTAAGAAAAGGAATTAAATAATAACAAATGCATGGACAGAAAGAAGAACAGTGTGTTTAACAATGCTAATAACAGAGATCTGTGAATTCTTCATTTATGCAAACAAATGATAAGGTCAATTGGTGTTTTAATGCATTTAAATAGAGCCCAGTAACAGCTCACGATAACATATTACCACAGGTATGCGATGAGTGAAGGTAGAAAGGGGAGCGGAAATCCACGTAGGCAGGCAACAATAAACGCCTCTGCAATTCCAGAGATGGTAGCGAGACCACTAACTTATTCTTTTAGACTTAACCAATTCGAATTCATTGGATGAGAACAAAAAACACAAGGGAATGAAAATTTGGCATTTTTTAGGAAACATCAACTACTCCTTTTGAGTTTTTAAGACAAGCCATTTTCATTATTTATAGCTCCTCTTTTTCTTTGTCATCTCCACGAATTATCGTATTGAAAGGTGTCTATTCTCTACCAGAATGGTAGACCCAGATACGAGCTTTTGTTTAAACTAAGTTCAAATTCTCAGAAAGAAAGTAGATAAGTCCTGTCAAGTTACGGGTCGTGCAATTTGCACGAACTTCCATCTGACCGAAATGGGTAGGACGCCGAGACTGGGGAAAAAATGTCTCAAATGGGAGAAAGAAATAGAATTTTCTTAGCCAAAATGTAGAAGGTTAAACAACTGTGATTCGACAGCAAAAAATTATGAGAAAAGAACGGTGATAGAGATACAGACCAGTTCTGTGTACAGTAAAAGAAACAAACCAAAAACTGGAAAATATTTCCCAATAAGTATAATATTTATGTCACTAGAAATATACTAATCGCGGGATATAATTAGTTGTAAGTTCAACAGGGAATCCAACCAACAGAAGTGATATACATTATAATCCGAATGATTGAAAATGGAAACGATTCAAATTTAGAAAAGTGATCACAAGATACTATTAAAATTTCGGAAGATGCTTTCTTTCAGCGCAAGGTAAGTGCTATTTTTTGACAGCTACTAGTAAAATAGCAACCGATTAAATGATTGCAGGAGATGTTGCTTCGAGTGGCCAAATAGCACTTCAGTGTTGAATTGAGCTCAAAAACCCTTCAAATAGACAACAGGACCTCTCAAGAAGTAGTGGAAAGCTATGAATCAATAGCTAATAGCCTTCTATCCATGACGCAGAGACTAATTTAGCATTCTTCCAGCAAAAGTCATGATAAAATTAATCAATATATTCAAGTGCAAGTCGATGTCTCTGAATGACACGTTCATCTGTCATAAATGTCCGCGTAAAGCAACGTAAACCGGCAATCCGAATGAAAGTACATACAAATTACGTAAATCCTTATATCTGCTCTTGTTTTTTAAACTGTCAAAAATAGATCCTATTTAGCAATATCTAGTTATGAAAACGTAGACGAATTTAGGACGTCGTTCATAGAAACCGATATCCCGTGTAATTTCTGGACAAACAAGGCTTTAGGTATCTTCGAACAAAATGAAAGTAGAAGCGAAGCGTAGCCAACCTTTTTTACCTGGGTGAACGGTAATCGACCGATTAAGTCTCCCTATGGATGGTATTAAATGTTAGATTTATCTCCTGTGTAGGTAAATGATATACTGTACTCTAGCGATAAAAGTTAGCATGTCCTTTTTTGAGGACTGCACTTTCATCTAATCTCGATGCCTAAATGAATAGATTTTTTTCAGACTATTAGACTCATAGTACCTACGCTCGGTGAGGCCCACAAACCTAAGAAAATTATGACAAATAGTGCAGGTTCAAATTAGTACACGTAATCAAAAGTAAATGGGTATTAAGCTGGCGAATTCTTGAAAAAGGGGATTAATTTAATCACGTGTTATGTGTAAGGAGAACGGGATGTTGGACAGACATATTAATAGAATTAAAAAAACACAGAAATCTCACACAACGGCTGAGCCAATCACTTCAAGTGGCAATGAAATTATAATTCATTCTTCCACAGCTCCAGATTCGTTTTAGGCTAGCGTCTACGATGACCATCTTGGAGCCTCAAACTGCCAAGGGAAGTATAATAAATTCACCACTCATTGTTTTTGCATGCAAGAGCACTAAGTATTTTTTAATGAGTCAATTCGTTTACCAATATGTTCTCATTTCCCATCACATATTTCCAAATATGAGACAGTGAGAAACTTAAACAAAAGAAAATTGGCAGAATCATGGCACAAATCCAACCTCGATAAAGACAAAATTGAGGAAACCGGCAAACGACTACTTAACTTGCATAAAAGTTTTATGTATGAATATCTAAATCGTAAACTAAATTAAGAAAACACTTTCACTAATGAATTTAAAGAAATATACATAGTAAAATTGCTTGAAATTAAAAGCTATTTAATCACAATTAAATAATAAACATACAGTTTAAATTTAAGAAGCTGAAAAACCACGCTTTCAGAACAGAATAACGAGCAACTGGAGAAGGTACAGAAACGTATTCGTATGCCACTTGAACACGAATGGCAAGCCAAAGAAATCTAACCAACCAGAGATAGAGATGAAGGTCACTCATTTCTATGTCTTCAAATAAGACGCTTGTAGCACTTTACTGCTTTTTAATTGGCTCCGTACAGCGGTGATTAATGCGTCCAACTGGTCTAAAATTATCGACGTTGAAAGAGAAAGAACATTCTATGGAAACTAGATTTAATGTATAGCCATATCTAACACATCTTATCCACGAAGAGAACTAACTTGGACATTTCAAGATGTACGTTTTCCCCTACAATAAAGCGCATTTTGAAGTGGCTTGTGAAAATTCAAATGAAAGATAACCAAACGTGGATAATTGTTTGTTCACCCAACTATTTTCAACGCCGTTCTCAATTCCCAAACATCTCGATACATACTACTCTTATGACTCTGACTCTAAATTGGATATTCGACAGAATATTCACCTTGGCATCTTTAATTGATAAAATGTATCAGGCATAATTCCCTAATAAGCATCACTATCACAAGTAATACTGATATTAATGGTAAAAAAATGCAATTGTTAATTGCGAAGGCCAACTGGAATCGATCAAACAAAAGGCAAGTAGAGGGGAACAAGAAAGATCCTGAGAGCGGTGTCAAGGTGCCAAAGTTTTACTACATACAATGTTCGCTTAATGAAGGGCAAACATTCCAAAATTCGGGCTTTAAAATTCATTCCTAAGATTGCAGCAATTGTTGGTTTATGATGTCTAGTGCTTATTGGTAGTTTTATAATAAAAGTAGCAGTCTTACCACGTCAACTCACGTATTTTCCTGATGGTTGAGATGGTAAATGGATATTATATGATATTTAAAGGTTTACAGATGTAAGATAACAAGGTTATATCAGAGACACTAGCAATAGAGCACTAAAAATTCCAACATCAAGCAAAAAGTGGCCTGTCACTAGGCTTTTGTGTTAATACTTGGTGATACAAGCATAGAAACATAGACATCAAAAGTCAAGCTGGCATACTCAAATGCCTTTATTAGCAAATCAAAGTATTAGCAAGGAAACTAAGGGAGGGGGGGGAGGCCATCAGACAGCGGCTTTGGTAGATGTCTTAACTAACACGCAATAAAGAAGAATATGAGAAGAAAAGATAATATTGGTACCAACGTTGGGAGAAATGAGATTCAGTTGTTATTGCTGCCACCTCAATTAAGTGATGACGGTAGGTTGAGTACGACCAGTGAAGTACTGTATGCCACAAAGGCCAAGTGCCAACTCAATATGCGGTGCCATGTAGCTCTAAACAGAAAAATACAATTATTAATGAGTGATTTCCATTAGTGCAAGTACCCATATGCCAAACAGAAATGGTCAGTGTGGTCACCGATAAGATCATATTTTTTTATCTGCAAGTCCCTTACTAAGCTAGGGGACCTTAGCTATTTCAGTCGCTTCTTTGTACTCTCTCACAAATCCTAATAAACAAGGTGTTCAGTAGTAACTGACTCATTGACCTTTTCATCTCTCGCCGGATTTGAATCAAGTGTAGTTTGTCGATATCTAAGGCTCAGAAATCAGACTTACAGTCATCAGGAAAATGTACTTTGTCCGACAAAATCAAGCCTGTAGTTTTTCCCCCCTTGGAAACCTTTGATGAATAGTGAGCAATTTGTCAAGTACATCGAATGCCCACCCACTCATCACAATCATTTGATCCGGTTAGGTCCTATACTGCACTAGAAATAACTAATACACAATACCTCGAAATTTGACTAATCTAAGCCTAAAGGGAAGAGTTTCTCAGTATTTAGTTAGTACAGAGCCGATCACAAGTCGAGAACTATTGAACACCCAACACTTGATCTCTGCGACCTTGATACTAATGATCATTTTTAAACCAGAAGGAAAGAAACGGTTAACTTAAAAATCAGCTAATTCTTTTCTTCCCTTTTTCAAGTATATCTGCAAATTATTAGACACGTTAATTAGTAATGAGAATATTTCCCTATCAGATACAAGCACAAGGGAACAAAAATCGATAAACGAGCTCTGTTTACTGGATTTCTAGGATATTCGACATTGGCTAGCATCTTCCATCCCCAAACCAGTCTATTTCCGTATCTATTTACCTTATTTGGACTTTGTTCCTAGTACAAACAATCACTTTCGAAAGGATCGGTTACCCCCACGTTAAGTCTCTTCGGCTGAAACCAAAGAGGTGTGAAACAAACTAATTTTGGAAACCATATTTAGCGTAAGTGGTGTTAGTAATTGAATAGACAATAAGGAGACTATTCTGTTGTCATGACGAGAATACCATTTCTAGTGTTGAGTTTCTCCATCACTACTTCGACTCCCATGAAACCTTAATTAAATTGTCTAACCAAATCAAGATGAAACTTGTTGAGCCTCAAACACTTACTCGGTTGCCAATTTGAGTATAGATACAATATCGGGACTCTCACAATAAGCCATACAGCTCGTTAAGCAAACAGAATAATGACCACAAATCATGATACTTGAAATGAGCATTTTTTAGCCCCCAAAATGTTAACTCGAAATTTAAGTGCTTGTCCACCCCCTTTCAAGACTCCAATATGGGTAGAAAAGTCATTATAAACTCGTGCCTTGTAAGCTGTAAAATTGAGCACTATCTACAATCTCCAGTTTGGTAGCGATTATGATATTTTTAAGCCAGAAGGCTGGTGGCTAATGAATTACCAAGCTACCTTCTATACTACAAACTTTGGGGTGTGCGATAGACTTACCTCCACGTGGTGCACCCTGGGCAACGTATACTCATACGGCAAAAAAGTCTATTAACCGGAAGTTGATTTCTCACTTCAAACTACCATGATCCCACTGTATGTCATATTCGACCCCTTCCACATTAATCATCTTACCTTTTTCCCTACCTTTGTGTCTGTCTGCCTCTTACATCCGTGAATCGCTCTTCTGTTCCCCACCCCTTGACTTTCTTCTACTTTGATGAACCTTCCCCCTGTGAAGCCCGAAGTCAGTTAAATGGCTAATGATAGCTATCAAAACGCCTGCCATTTGAAATAAATAAATACTACAAACTCGTAACAGGGAGAAGTTGGTCCCAATCTGGCTATTTTTGTGCATAGATATTAGTTAGCTTACAGTAGCAGGAATATCGTGGGTATTTGGATCCGATGAGAAGGTGTTAACGTAGACACGAATAGTAGCACCTGAACTGCCGGTTCCACTCATGCGGTAGACTATTCTCGTGTCACCGCTCAGCATAATGCGGATACCCTAAAATGGAAACAGCAAAAATTGCCGAGTGTAAAGTACGAATTAATTTTCGCTACACAAGAAGGTGCCAATTAGACTCCAAGAAAAGCATGGTGAGTAGAGCCGATGAACGATAGCACATACCTTTGTGGAGGAGAATTGAGCTAAAATAGCGTTAAATAGAGAACAAATTGAATAAAATGACATGCGCAACAGACATAACACAAAGCTTCCCTTTACACATAGAAAAGAAAATGTCTATGGAACGTTAACTTTATTTTCCAAAACTCAGCTTGATGAGGGAGATCGAAACAGGTCACTTCAATCGCTGAACGTATGATGGGTGGGAAGATGACAATGTCGATCATCACGCAATTTCCACTAAAAGAACCTTTATTGATTTTAAATTGTAATCCAACAATAGTCTGAGCAACACATGGCCGGATATGAAAAGAAAAGTCAATCTAAATATCCTAACCCCATGAAAGTCTATCTCTAATGCATGTTTTAACGTATTCTACAAAAAAATAACGTTTTAATAAAGTAAACCGCCTTTAATCTTTGAAGTTACCACTGTGAAAAATGGTATAAATAAATCACAAATACGCATCAAGTTCCTTACTAAGTTACCGCCATTCTCATAAGAGGCTTAGACAGGGCTTTGCATTGAGTAGATTCGAGATTCGAGGAAAAAATGTATTAAAATGTGTAATGACTGCCATAGAGGTTAGTATTGTGGCGGATACTAAAAAATAAGCACTTGGCCAAGAAATTGATAATCCTCTTAGAAGCCCTACTAACTGCGGAAAAGCACAACTAATCTCAAGCATGAATTTGTCATCAAAATTAGCTAGAGGCTATGTTGAAGATAGAGGGAATAATACAGAGGATATATAGAATAATGGGAGTATATTGCAACTGTGAGTAAAAGTTGGTAAGTCACTAATACCTTTGGTAATTAGATGCCGCAAGTGTTACACTAAAGTGTACTTTTATTGATTGGGTGGGAGGCTCCAGCACGTGTCTGTTCGATAAACAATCAGTAGAAAAGCCTGAACTTTCTGGAATGTTTTAGCAAGCACAAGATGCCTTGTTCAACTTTGGTAACGATGCACACCTCACAGAATTTTTCTCATAAAATAGGCTCCATAACGATAACGCTTTCATAATATAGCCATACTAAACTTTTAATGATAAGGAATCGGGGTGCGCGATAGACTTACCTCCACGTGGTGCACCCTGGGCAACGTATACTCATACGGCAAAAAGTCTATTAACTAGCAGTTGACTTCTCACTTCAAACTACCATCACCCCACTGTATGTCATATTCGACCACTTCCATTGTACTCATCTTACCTTTTTTCTGCCTTTGTGTCTGCCTGACTCAGATCTGTTAATCATTATTCTGTCCCTCCTCTCGACTTTTGTCATTTTGGTGTTCCTTCTCCTTTCTGCGAAACCCGAAGTCAACTAAAGGGCTATTGATAACTATCAAAACGCCTGCCATTTGGTATAAATGATAAGGAATCAGCACCCTCTTAAAAGATAGAATTAAATGACCGAAAAAGTGGCTATCTGCAAATTCTGCAGTTCTAACGACCATAAAAGCAGAACACTTCTCAAAAGAATCACGATCATCTGAAAAAAATCAATATAGGACTTCAGACAATAATGTAACCAAATTTTCCATAATCTGTCAATAAACCAAAGTGGTCCACTTTCAAACCTCTGAGCTATCTTTTTGAACTTACCAAAACCATACAAATCAGTGGCCTCTCTCTTCCAAACATTGTTAGTGGCGGTGGATAAAAAATGAGCAGAAAGCAATATATCTATAGAATCAAGAGCTGCGCAACGGCTAATGCCTGAATACCAACATCTCAATTAAGTAGCGTTTGGTTTCTGCAGAAAATGGAAGCAGCAGATCAAATCTATAGTCATAAATTATCTCCCAAATATATGCGGCTGTCTAGCCAGTGTTCCCTTCACACATTGTGAAATCAAAGATAAACTTAAAATCACAAATTGATTTGATAGGCTCGAATCCATGAATTTAAACAACCCCCAATAACTCGCATATAAAATAATAAAGTAGACGGAGTCTTTGTTTCACGCTACGAATCCAGAACGAGCCGGTTTAGTGTTAAGGTTAATAATGGAGACCATCTCGCGGGTGCAAGAAGAGAGAACACTTCGTACCTGATTCTTAGAGACTGAATGATCGATAGGATCCTTGTAACAGAAGTCATCAATTGAGAGTACTTTGAACGCAGCACCAACATTCGTGGTATAAGTACGACCAACAAACTCTTTGTCAGTGAGAAGGCATTTCACACGGTCCATGACTTGCTTGCCTTGATCATCAGTGCAGTTCTCATAGTCATAACTAAATATAAAGAGAGCATAAAAAGTTTGGAGTTTGGGAATACTAAACAATGTAATATCAGTAGACTCACCGAGTAAAGAAGTCACGCCCATACTTACTCCAGTGTTCACGTAGAACATCACGAACTTGCGGAGACTTACCAGCCTCTTGGCGTCCAGCTAGAATAGACAGCCAACAGAGGAGAGCCCAAATACCGTCCTTCTCGCGAATATGGTTCGAGCCCGTACCGAAACTCTCCTCTCCACATACAGAAGCCTTATCAGCATCAAGTAAATTGCCAAAGAACTTCCAGCCTGTAGGAGTTTCAAAAATGCCCATATTCTTCGCTTTGCACACCCTATCAAGAGAAAATGAAATAAGGTTTTTGATCTGAGGTTTAGATCTAATTAAGTTTAATATATTCAAATCACAATAAGATGCAGTGATAAATTACTAATTTCAGTAGTAGTACCTATCGACAGCAGGTGATGTTGGCATGCTACGTGCAAAGCCCTTGGGAGGATTCTTAGAGAAATACTTGATGTAGCCAGCATTATCAGCGATGACAGCCAGTGAATCACAGGGGCAGACAAAGAACCCATTCTGTCCGATAATCATGTTACGATCTCCATCACCATCGAAAGCAGCGGCCAACATGATTGTCTTATCCGCACGAACAGCGTCAACCAACTTAGAGGCGTAGGTCAAATTTGGATCAGGATGATGACCGCCGAAATCGGGTAAGGGGGTACAATCCAGAGTTGAAGATTCAGGCAAATTAAAGTTGTCCATTAATAGAGCCTTAATGTACGGTCCGGTTACTGTAAAGGCGTAGTAAAAAAATACATTAACAGGCAGTTCATTTCAACACCACTTCGGCAGTTTAACCACTCATTACCTCCACTAAGGCCATCAACAAGGATTTTAAAAGGCGGCTTTCCATTGCTTCCATTAAGGAAACCTTTGATGAGATCAAAGTCGAAAATTTCCTTCATGTAGTCAACGTAATCTTTGGTGGAAGAGATAATTTGGACTTTGAAAGTATTTCCATTAGAAAGAGCATACTCAGAGGTGCCCTGTTTAGACAGATCAATGGGTATCGGAGATTCCAATGTATGGTATTCAGAAATTGACTTAGTAATTTCGTAGATCTCATTGGTGATTGTCTCAGTAGCTGGGCCACCGTTCTCGATGTTGTATTTCAAGCCAAAGTCCCCATCAATTCCGCCAGGATTGTGACTGGCTGTCATAATGATTGCACCTGTCATGCCATAACGGCGAATGATCGTTGATACGGCAGGCGTTGAGAGAATTCCCTCCTCACCAACCATCACTTCCTCTACCTAGACAGAAAAAAAGTTAACATTATCATCTGTTTCTATGTCCATCTTCCTATCTTTTATTCTCAGTCAAATAAAACAACTACAAACGTCTCGGTTGGTTAAGGTCACGTTCTGAAGTAAATAAATTCCCAGAACTGAGCATAATATGCTTTCTAAATAGGCGTGCCTGAACACTGACTTGGAACTCGTAAACAGTAGCTATTGCTTGCATTTCAATGTAACTTAAAAGCGAGAATATCCCAGTTAGAGCCAAGAATCAATTATCACTACAGGTTGCAAGAGAGAAGGGAACTAAAGGAAGTTTGTGAATTTCATTTCACAAACCAGGATTCCCGATGAAATTCGTAATAATTCTGGTAATAATAATGATTTAATTTTTTTGTAACGAGCAACTTGGTCAGCAATTCAGACTTATCATGCTTTCACCTATAAAAATCGACGAAACGTCAGCTACAAAAAAAAACCTGTGACGTACATATGTTTGATTCTCACTTTCTCACTAAATCGGTCTACTTTTGCTTTGCCGCTTTTGTTAATGCTCCTGCTCAATATATCTCGATTTTCCATTGTTGTGTTAAATAAATTTAGCCTTAATCATGGCGTAATTTCACAAATAAATGCACATTGGTTATTTGCTCGTGGGGTAATAGCCTTAAATCCTATAAGATCGATTCAACTGACTCAATTTACTATGTAGATACTTTGAAATAGAAATGCATTTAACCACTTCTGGAGGAATCTAATTATCAACCTCAGCAAATTCCCGAAATGGTCAAATTTAAACCTAAGAACTCCTAATCCAATAAACCAAATTCACTAAATTTGAAAGTTTTCAGGCAATGTATTCGCTCAAAATCGGCCTTATGACCAAACAGATGATGCCCATCAATGCATTTTCAGTAATCGTAATAACAACAGAATGATTAAATGTCAATTTCTAACCAAATATAAATTTTAGAACAGCTAGGAAAGCAGGAAAAATGTCAGGTTTAATAAGAAACACCAAATGATACCTTTTATAACTGTGGATCAGTTGCTAATTAGCCACCTTGCCCGACTGCCATGACAGAAATAACGGGATCGATTACTATTTTAAGCTTCCACCAGGGAAGGGGCTCCAAAACGCTTACAAAACGCTTTACTAAATGGACTTGAAAAGTAGCATTACGTTATGAGCCACAGGAGTCTTAAAAGAAGGTGTAAGAATATGTAGTTGGAAGAAAGTGGGTTAGGACAGCTTGTAGTTCCTGAATGCATGAACGTAGACGCTCAACATAATTTTCAGGATTCGGTCATTGGGAACGCTAGGATGTAATAATTGACTCCGAGAAGTCAATATTACAAAAGAACAACTAAGATCGTGCTTTACAGCCCATCGATTAAATGTGCAATTGTCGATAAGGTCTGCTTTTAAGTAGTAATGGAAACACTCGATCAAGCAAATAGTTTGTGGGTAATATACCGTTGCGAGGATCTGATTGGTATTAAACAAGTTAGCGCGTTCAGAAAAGAAATGAGAATTGAGTCATTGAATGGATGGCGTTGGTATAGACAAAGACAAAATCGAGGCCACCCTAAAGGTAGGCAGTAAAGGGTTGGAAGGTTTGGAGAGTGACTGAACTCGAGCCTTCATGATCTTACCCATTTACTCAGGATGAGTTTGAAACTAACTGAATCTTAATAAAAAAATCCATATCCCCACAGTAATGAAAGTTTACTATAACGAGAGGAGTAAGTAAAAATGAGCATTCCTAGGGTATAACGCGCACACACACACTCCAGGCGGCGTCAAAATGGATAGTCAATGAGAAAGGTTACAATTGCCTGAAAAATGCTACAAAGATTCGATACTGTGCTTTATTTGCGAATATCAATCTAATTAATAGTGGTTCGCACTTTTTTAATAATAATAATAGTCATTCTGACTTACACCGTTAGCAGCACAGATGGGTATTATAGCATTTAAAAGTGCCTCTTTGAGGAAGTATCGGCCATCACCTCCCAAAACAAGCCGAAATTTGGTTTTGGGTTTTCGGTACTTCTGTGCCACAGAGAGACAGGCTTGCACAAAATTCTCCACATAGTTAGGTTGCATGAAAGTCTTAGTGGGTTTACGCAAACCCGAGGTGCCCGGTTTTTGACCCTCAAAGGGCTTTGTTTCACGCTTCTGCACAGTGAAAGTCGTCGACATCGAACTTGAAGAAAAGAATGAAGGCAGTTATAAAAACCGAGAAATAGGAGAGACGAGAAGACACACATGGTAAGAATTACGCGTATAACGATTTATTCAATTACAAAAATAGGTACATGAAATAGCAACCTATACATCATTCTCTGTGAACTCATAATCAGCGTCCTCAGAAACCTGAATGATTTCATCCTGTTTGCCGTTCTGTGGACAAGGAAGATTAGCACCCTGATTTGCCAGCTTGTCTGCTTGTTCATTGCCCCACTTTCCTCTGTGACCTGGAGAATGACACTAGGAGAAAGAAAAATGACTATAGAAAGTGAGGCAGACATACCCATGAAACACGAAGTCCAGGGGAGGCCAATTCATCGGCCAATCGTTGAATGTCGGCTTTAAGAAGGACAGGTGCACCATTAGCCAATTTCCAATCGTTCTTTATCCACTTGAAATACCAAATCGTGGCGCAGTTAATTGTGAATTTGCTGTCGGTAACAATTTTCACACCCGTAATACCCACCTTGTTGGCTTGTTGCAAAGCGCGGATGCATGCCTTTAAATAGTACAAGCCAAATGTTTACCAAGCTAAATGAATAATGGCATCTAAAAGTAAATAAAACTAAAAACCTCTTTCTCGATTAAAAATACCCTTAGATTACTACAACTATATCTGCAACAATTCCACAGATAATACAGGAAAGCACGTATATATATATATATATATATATATATATATATATATATATATATATATATATATATATATATATATATATATATATATATATAGAGTATATAGTATATACTGTATTTAGTACTCATTGGGCTGCGAAATTTAGAAATCCATGTTTCCAATTAAAATTTTGTTCAAAGTGGTAAGATTCTAAAAGTTCATAACTCAATTCCAATATGAGTCGAAGATGGTTCATGGTCCAAAAAAGTTAGTATTATCGAATAATTATAAAAATTAGCGACTATAGAGCATATCCACCAAGTTAGAAGTCTTGAAATGGGTATCAATCGTGTACAGATGACGATCTATTTGGGAGAATAAATTAAACCAACTGCTGAATATGGGTGGTTGAATGTTAGTTTCCCATGAGAGCTCCTCAAGAATGTACTAAAAACCGACAAGTCAATCGTTAATAACCCTCCTCCTAAAAAGATTTAACTTCATTTATTACGTTATATTGTTATATAAATAAATGAACCGAATTACGCGTAATAGTAGAGTTCACTTGAAATAGTAAAAAGACCAATAGTTAATGCTATTCCCATTTTTTGGAGTTCGAGAACAATTATAAGCACTTCCAATATATATTGCTTAAAGTAATTAAAGATATAACGCGAACGTGTAAGATTGCAACATATTTTAAGCCTTGGATTTTTTAATAAAAGTAAAATATACTGTATGATGAAGGAGCTAAAACCTTGCAGCACCTAAATAAGTATCGCTTAAATACATGCATTATTTAAAAAGAAAATTCAAACAAGTCTATCAGTACTTACCTATATCAGATTTTCAGCAATTAATGATCAACATAAACAAGTTCAAAGACATCGTGCCCTACGAAGTTTACGAATCCTACGTGACACGAGTTAAACCAATAAAAAAAGGATATAAATCTTATTGGCTGAAGCATTAGAACGAACAACCTTACCTCAATTTCGGCCCTGTTATTGGTTTGACGTCCTGATAATCGATCCGATACATTCCACGGATGATTTTCACCCCAAAATACGCCTATACCAGCTCGGCGATTATTCTGTGGACCCTTACAGGAACCATCAGTGTAGACGAGAACTTTGTTAGCTTCATGAAGATCTATAATAAGACGTAAAAATAACGTTAAACGTGCCTAACCATGCATAAACGGAAGAGGTGACAAATTATCAACCGCAGTTGAGTCCACAACCCTTTTCCTACTCGCCTAAAAGAGAGATAAAATAACAGCTACTAACCTTTAAAAGAGGCTCCTCTTCTAAGTGCGCCGTTGTATATGCACGCTTCCGCGCCGGTGATACTGGACCATCTGCGAAATTAAGTAAAATGGAAAGTAGACCAACCGTCGTTTAGAAACTTCTCAGCTTCTGAGATGGTGTAAAACTTCCTGAAAATAGCCCCAGTGAAACCCCGCACTTGTTCTTTACATTCGGGCCTAAAGTAAATTTCATGTATATTTAATAGGAAAAATAGTCAGAAACTCGAATAAATAGAAATAGCAAAATAATTACTAGAATATATAACACAATTTCGAGATCCCCAAAATAAAAAATTATGTCATTACATGAAAAAGTAATTCAAATAACACCCCAAATGTACCATGTTCCATATATTCCAGGTGTTTTTCCTACTTTGACAACGTAAAAAGGCATTCGAAAGGCCAGACTTGTTTCCAACACCCTAGAAATGTACTTGGATAGATGGTATATCTGATTGGTTAAATTAATAAATTGTCGTGAAAACAGTTTGTGACCATTCTTAATAAAAACAACCCAGGTTGCTCATCAAAAGATGTTTTATACCAACTGAACATAATTTATCAGCATCTTCGCAAAAAAACGAAAATTCAAATTATGATTTTTTGCTTCTAGTTATTAGTTTTCAATATTTATCTAATTAAACATTCATTCTATTTGAAAAGTTCTTAAAGGTACTCAAATCACTTATTCATTTGTGTAACTTTTATTCTTTCATGCCCATAATTGTTCATTTTATTCTAATTAACATGATGTAAATTATTTTCATATTCTGGCGTCATATGTGCTTTTAAAAATAATTATCTAATCTGGAAAGAACCTCGCTGTTTCTGGTATTAATTTCTATGCACATATATTTTTTACTCATTATTAATATGTTTTAGTCCCTTCTTTTTTCTCTTCGTTGCCTCCTTATTACAAAATTCTACTTCCTACTCTCTGGTACACAAAGTTCTTACAATTTATTTATTAAAATCAAATTGCCGACGTTTTGATAGTTATCATTAACTCTTTAGTAGACTTCAGGCTTTACAGAGGGAAGGAACATCAAAGTAAAAAAAGTTGAGAGAGAGGATGGGGGAACTGACATGTGTTTCAAAGATGTAAAAGAGACAGACAAAGGCAGAGAAAAATATAAGTTGACTACTATTGAAATACTAGAATATGACATACAGTGGAGTCATAGTAGTTTAAAGTCAGAAGTCGATTGCCAGTTAATAGACTTTTTGTCGTATGAGTATACGTTGTCCAGGGTGCACCACGTAAAGGTAAGTCTATCGCACACCCCACAACTTTAATACTAGTTTCAACTTAAGTTTCTCACAACAGTTTTACGTATCTGATGCCATCGTCGAGTGACTGCCTTTTGTTGACAAGTTAAAGACTACAGTTTTTACAATTCCTATACTTCAAAAGATCAGAAATTCCATTAGTTCCATCAATTAAATCCACGAGCAAGCTTTATACTTAATCTCACAATTCTTCTCAGTTATTCAGTTTGCGTTCGTGAGCTGACATAATTTATCAATACGTTAGGAAGTCGGAAATAATAAAGCAGCGATTGCCTACGCCATCAGTGGAAAATTATTTCTCAGTGATGAAACGAAAAGGATCTGATATGGACTTGAATGTTTGTGGATTAATGATTTCTGTAGTTAAGTTGTAGATCGATGTTGGCGAAATTGAAATTGGAACGATTTCGAAATGTAAATATAAATAGATACTTATAAATTATTATTAGTAGGAATAATTATAAGGTACCCAACTCGAGTAATTGACCATATACAAAGTATCTTCTTTTTAACCTCAAATATTCTAATGGGAACATTTTTATGCAATGATTTTTCGTATTCTATATGCTTTCGAACTACTATTGACAAATGATTATTTAAATTGCACCAAAAAATGACAAGCACAAGTAAATATATTTAATAAAAATTATTTATAACATTTATACAATTTTATTATTCTCGAGTAGATTTATCTAAACTAATTCTTTTTAAACTAGTTTGAACAAATTGATTTGCGCGGGAAATTGTGGGAATTCTAAAATATGGCGGATGATCGCTCTTGTAAGTTACAAATTTTACTTATTTACTTTTAGTTGACGATGATTACGGAATGTCTTATAGGAAAAATGTAGGTATTTTTTCGCATTTAACTTTTGTTTAGCCTCCAAGAACACGGAAAAAAAGTAGATTTTATGATGACTATTATGAGCCTACGCCCCAATATAAACCTCGTGAGGGCCAACGTGTTTATTCCCCCATCAAGCCAATGGTGCCTGATGAGGCTCACAGACCTCGGAGGATTCCTAAACAAGTTTGTTATTTTATTTGTTTTTATTAATATTTTTTCAGCACCGAGGTGCAACTAGTTCATCTGGAATGCATCGTGGATCCAGTAACCCAGAAAAGCGCGTTGCTCAGGGAAACGCAGTCAGGCTTCGCAATGTTTTAAAACTCCCGAAAGCCCATAAATGGGTATTTTATGAGTGGTTGTATTCCAATTTAGACAGGTAGGCATTTATGCCTAAGCAGTTTTCCCTTCTTTTTAAGGCCCCTTCTCCTTAGCGAAAACGATTTTCGAATTTGCCTTCGTGAAAATTTTCCAAATGTCAAGACTCGTCGCTTGACCCGTGCTCACTGGTCTCTGCTACGACGTTTGATGGGAAAGCCCCGCCGTTGTTCGACAGCATTTTTTGAAGAAGAACGGAGGTCTTTGAATGAAAAACGTGAAAAGATCCGCACTTTGCAGGGCACCCGGTCGGTTCAATTAGAATTTCTTCGTGATTTACCTGATGACATGCACGTCCCGATGCCTCTTATTATTGGTACAAAAATTAATGCTCGGTAGGTTTGCGCTTTTTTTCTTTATTTTCTTTTGTGTAGCGTTCGTTATCCAACCGATGGTCTCTATCCTGGAATTGTTGATGCTATTGATTCTCTTCGTCATTGTTACCGAGTTACATTTGACAGACCTGCTTTGGGAACTCGTTCTATTCCTGATTACGAGGTTATTAGTATCGACCCACAGGAAACTATACCTCTATCGGCATACAAAACACAGCATAAGGCCAGTCGCAATCTTTTTATGAGTCCTGCCAGATTACTAGCACAGTCTGCCCTACAAGGCAAACGTCACATGCACCATCATAAAATTGCTCATGCGGTTGGTGGATCACCTAGCGAGTTTGGGATTAGTGATTGCCCACTTTGTCAAACTGGTGAAGGATCAAATGCTACTTCTCCATCAATTAAGTCCCCATCAATTGGAGAAATGACCTCGGGAATTAGTGGTGCTGCTCTAGCTCTTAACGATCCATCTAGCAGTGGTGGCCGTCTTTTGCTCAACGAATCGGATATTTACGGAGGCTATCCCATGAAGTTTCTTGTTATGGTGGTACGTCTTCCATTTTTCACTTACTCATTACTATGTTCCCACATCAATCACCTGTCTTTTCTATTCTTGTAGACAAAGTTGTCCAAAATTTTGGAAGTGAAAAAGATGTGTGTCGATGAGCTGCAGGATTTAAATACCGAGGCGGAGAGAAAAATTTCCAACCAATCAGAAATTACTGCGGACTTTCAATACAAGTACCTCACTCTTATTGTGCATTTGGAACGCCTCAATAAGGAGTTGAATCAGTATTTGATTCACGTCTTGCAGTATGCTAATGAAGTATGTCTCTATTTTTTTACTTATGTCAGCGCAAAGAATGAGCATTTTTTGTTAACATGAAATCATAATTAGTGAGTGTGAATTATAAATGTATATAGGCAACTGAATAATGTCCTAGTGATCCAGAGTTTAATTTTCAGGATTTGATATTTCCTTAATCCGCTTGCTGTGCATTCGAGTAACGTGAGTAATCGTTAAATATCTCCTCTAGAAAAGCTCCTTCAATAATAGATACTTATTGTGTTTATCTGTCATCAGATAATAGATTTGCGAACCCGTTTGGCTCATATAGTGGGTAATGTATGTCCGTTTTTTACTTCTTTCAGGGAGTATTTACTCGCTGAATTTTGTCACTATTATTTTCGTTTGCTCCGACTTTTTTAAGCTATTTAGTTGTGAAGACAGCGATCAACGTGATTACTTAAAAATCTCGCTTTAAATTGGATCAATTTGAATGTAGGCTTTCTTCTGTAATCTAATAAATTTTAACTGAATGAGACTAAGAAAGTGTACAAAGTAAAATTTCGCTCTCGATAAACCACAAACTTGGAGGCTGAGCTGTAACGGATCGTCGTTTTATATCTGAAGGAATAGAATTCTTGAACACAGAAGTTCTTGCCTCTATGTTTGGCCTCATGAATAAAAATCCCCAAATGGTTCTTTTCGGCAAAATTTGGATGCGTTGGTAATCATAGATCTTTACTGATGACCTATTTTCATCACAAAAAGCACGAGCTTCAAGTTTAGTAAAGTGGGTGTGTGTGTGTAGGTGGGGACGCTATTTGGGAAACTGGATGTATCGTTCACACATGAAAGGTGTGGGGTTTAGGGGCATCAATGTTTGTAGTGACTTTAACATATCAACGTGGTGGTTCTATAGTAGGGCCTAAAGTCACTCTAAAGTTTGCATTACTTGCATATTGTCATCCTTAGATCAGGTATGTTACTTTTAATCGCAAAAGTATCTGCTATTGACTAATATTGTTTTTTTTTCAAGATTGCACAAGAACATGGTGTGACACCATTAGAACAACCAGCTGATTTTAAACAGCGATGTGAGGAAGATGCTTTTGATATCGTAAATCGTGTGAAGAGTATCCAAGTTCAACGTCTTCGCAATATGAAGAACATGGATCTCATAACTAAGCTCATTAGCCTTCAGGTGCAAATTCGGACCCTTAGTGAACAGGACACGTCGTCTCCCGATTGCTCGAGCATTTTGGATTCCCTTCGCGAGATCAAATCCACTCTAAATCCTAACAACCTTGTGTTAGTGTTTTTTTCTACTCTAGACTAACTACTGAAATGGTTGTTAATAGCACTAAATCTTTACTTATTTTGTTTTAGTACTTTTGACGATCTTATTGATGTGAAGATTCAACATGTTATGAGCGGACTGAATACGCAGGGCAATTTGCATTCCTTCCTCTATATGCATCCAAATCATATGCAGTATATATAAGCAACAAACTTTTCTCCCTTTGGTTTCACATGTAAAGTCAATACACAAAAATATTGCCTCTTGTTTCTGTGTCTTAATATTTGTATTCAAAAAATTTTATTGTCTAACACGTATGTCTTCTATGATTAATTAAATTTCAATTAATGCTTTGATTTTCTTTGTTACTGAATGAAATATTGGAATATGTCTTTCGCAGATACGGTTGTGAGGTAAGTAATAGTAAAGCATCGATTGAGGCTATACACTTAATCATTTTGACTTTGGAATGAGAGTCTACTGCAAAATGAGTGGAAATATTAGACATCGATTTTCCTTGTCAAATTGACAAGCAGTAACATTGGGGGCTATACATCGCTAAAATGTTCGCATTCGCAGCTGTTGATGCAATGTAACCAACATGGTAGCTTGAAATCACTATTGTGATTTTATAGTGGTCTAAATAAAATTGCATTTTTTTAATTTTCCACAAGAGAGGGTAAGCAAGTGTTTTGGTCAGTAGTAGTAATCTTCCAGCGTTAGATTTCAAATGGATCTATACTAGTACGGTATCGACTTATTCCATTCATGGGTGTGCCTTTCCTTCCAACTTACACTCTTGATTTATGACTTATTACACCTCCATAACGGGACTGGCTAATCATAGTGCGCATTTTAACATTCGCGTGGCTGTTCATAATTCGATTTCCCACTCTTGACAAGTCACCGAAGTCCATGCTAGTTAACGAGTTTGCATGAAAAACTATCAGCTAGAATTAAAAGGAAAACCGGTAAAGCTACTTCTTCTGTAAGATTTACTATTTTGAAGGAGAAGAGCTTGCTTCCGGTGCGCGTCGTTAGGCCACCGGCCAGAATTCACGTCATCACTTTTCGTGGTCATTGGTTCAATTCCCATTGGTGCTTGCCCAGGGAGTGGCCTGAAAAGAGCACTGTTTGAGTCAGACAAATCTAGATTGATGTAAAATTCGAGCCTGCTTAAATGCTTCACGATACCACCCCATGTGGGGTGTGTGATAGACCTACCTCCACGTGGTGCACCCTGGGCAACGTATACTCATACGGCTAAAAAGTCTATTTATCGGCAGTTGACTTCTGACTTCAAACTTCCATGACCCTACTGTATGTCATATTCGATCACTTCCACCATACTTATCCTACCTTTTCTTTGCCTTTTTTTTCGATTTGATGTTCCCCTTCCTCTGTGAAGCCTGAAGTTAACTAAAGGGCTAATGTCAACTATCATAAAGCCTGTCATTTGATATAAATAAATAAATACCACACCATGTTAATGGTCTGGGTTATAGATTTGATTTAAATATGTTTACTTAAATCATATGAGTACAACTACATTTTTTTGTTCGCCA